AATATTTTTCACGCACCTAGTGATCTCAGAAGTTGACAAGCATGAGAAAGGGATAAAGATGAAGATAAGCTGGCAGGAATGAAGTTTGCCTTCTTTGATGGATTTGTTATTGCACTACAATAACATATATGAAGAACGGCTACAAATTTGTGAACCAGCCAGTTTGTAGACCAGGCTGTAATATTTGCTGAGCTTTTTCAATATTGACAAAGTGGCCATTGACGAAGAAAAGCCGGTGCGATGTAGATACTGGTTAGTTCTTGCAGCATTTAGACCAACGTGTTAGTGGAGGAACCAATGCGCGGATGGAACTAATCAGAAACGGCTAAATAACATTGTATTCAGGATTCTAGTCTCAGCACTTGTATGAAACGTACGACTGGTCTTGCGGAGACCATCTAAGGGTAGTGATTGCGGCAATAAATACTTAAATAAATATCTTACTCTCAAATGCTTTGAGTCACACCAAATCTGGCATGACCAAGTCTTTACGAGCGATTGTATTGCCACAGGCCATTTATTTTAACGGAACTGCGCTGTTCACACAATATATAAAAGTTACGCAACTGGCGGATGCACTGATCCGGAACGGAATCTTTGATAATGTGGCTAAAGTCTGGGATCAAAAACGTGCAAAGTATAAAAATAGAGGGAAGACGGAAAGCAGAACTAAGGAAGTGTCCATTTAGTGGGCATATTCAAAATATATTGAACTGACGTGAATGGTACTCAAGTTAAATTGCCTGTGTGAGCTTGTGGGCAGTGACTTTATTCAGTGGCGAGTCACTTCCGCTACGTTGCGGTGTCGATAAACGGACATTAGTGGCTTTATATAGGCAGCACGCTTGCCAGGCGAAATCCCACCATGTGCTAAAACACTAATGTCGTTCCGCTTGAATAGTACTGTATAACAGGCGGTGTATCTTGCAGACCGACTGTACACTCCGCTATCCTCATTAATATGAGCTTAAAATCTCTGCTTTAGCTAACCAAATCGCTTAGCCCAGGTCCACCATTAATCATTAAAATCGGTCAAGAATTGTAATATCTATAACATTCGGGTGAGGGAATGTGCAGGCGAGTAAGGATTTTGAATTACTAGACACTGGCTTTTCCTTTACGGTATACTGGTCATGGCGTAAAGACTCCGTGCCCATTTATTTACATACACGTGTCAGGCGCTGAGTGCGGTTGATCCTTGTGGCTAAATTTATCCCATATCAGGGACAAACGCAATTCATCATTTACATGCGAAATCCACAGGAAGTTTGCATTAATACTTTTTAGCCCACGAATAGAGTTGTGGGAGTAATAGGGTCGTAACCCTGAGTACAGGCACTTAGCACCACAAAATGTTCACAAAAAGGTAACAGGGTTCCTCCACCAGTAAGTTATTGCAACGAGAACTTGTCTTCATATCCAGTAGTGGCTCTATGATATGTGATCCGAGAAGCTCCAGGTAAGCGAATTAGAAAAATGTTCTCGTGAAAATGTGAGGTGCCGAACCCAATCGTTCGAAAGCCAGTGCGATGCAGCAAATCTGTCCATGTCAAAGCAATTGTGAAAGATAAACCTATCATCCACAATGCAACTGGGGATCCATGTAAAGACGAAATTTTGGTGAGTACGTTGTGACAACGTGGTTACAAGGCGAGCAAAACATATTTGTTTAGACTCTGTGCAAGCGGCATCCCTCCAAGTACCAATATATTGATCCATACGGAAGCTGCTTGGAATCGCGTGAATGATGATTTGCTGTTTCAAAACGGCTCGCGGTGGAGGATGGATCAGTCAGTGCCAGTCGTTAAGCCGTCATTTTATAACCGCCGTAGCTGTGAAAATCTAGGTCCCAACAAGCAAGCAGAACAAGCGGAAATCAAGCAAAAACACTAGAATGCACTGATAAACACTTGCAAAGGGTGATCGCATGCAGTGTACCTTGTTCCTTGATGCACTGTGATTTTGTCCACTATATATGGTTTACAGGGGCCTTCTTACATCACGTCCCAGATGTGGCTCATACTGCAACTACAGCGCACCAAGAGGGTTCAGTAGAGTGCATGGTCCAGTGAGGGATATGCCTGCTTACAAAGTTCAACGAAAAGCACGGGCAGTGGAACGATGCACAGATATTATACTATAATTGTGAAAGATGGCCTCAACTATCTTTGATGAAAGCCGACAAGAAACGACTATTAGCTTAGGTGAACCTGAGGCCCACCGGATTCAGATATATAGCAAGGAGCATTCAATACATACAACAGCGTTCCAAGAATCGGTAAAAAGCGGATGCATGCAAACAAAGCTGCGGTGAGTTGGTAGGGGCGCTAAAGCGCTGATGCATATATAATCAGAAAGCTTCTAGAAATGTGAGAGACGGGACACAGAAGGTCATAGCTGCGCTATGCTTGAGTGTCGTTTTCTGGGATATACTAAGGTTAATAAAGGAAAAAGCCAGCCCGTGCAAAGACCTCCATAATGTTAAGCAATTAGGACAAGCGATGAATAGCCTAAACCTTGGAAGAAAGTAAGTGGAGTCTAGTAAGATACATGTGCGGGAGAAAGTAAGAATTGCCTTAGCAATCCATTATTTTAGGTTTTAATCGGTTAATAACGATCATCGCATCGATTTCGAACGTTCCGGAATGTTCTACTTCTACAAGTGATTAAAACCCACCTGACACCTTGGCAGAAGATATGGGGAACCACTAATCTTGGTAGCTGACCTTCCAATTCTAGAAGTCGAAGGTCAGTAGAGACATATAAATAGAGCCAAGGTCCGCAGTAGTTTTACGTTGTTCGTTGGCGGCGAATAATGCGTTATTTTGTCGAGGTCATTAGCGGTTTACTTTTTCCTTCGTTTGGGTTAGAAGTTCTGTAAAGCAGTAAAATGTTATTTTTGGAATTGCGTCTAATGAGAAGATTATAACAGTATATAATAGCCCCACGATGCTACCTAATATCTTTCCATAACCGCTTAGAGAGCTTGGTGGGAAAACACGCTTTGAGCCAGCGCGTATTCGGTTTAAACGCCGCATAATCCCGATGAAGGTATGGATACCACTCGGGTACGACTTACTATAAAATTGCTTTGTTTTTTATAAGAATCGAATCTAACCATGTTATCCTATGGTTCATGTAAAGCTCGAGTTTTATTTCAAGTAAATACAGCGTTCTGATGTTCCAGAGCAAGAAACAACGCAACTTAAGGCCAGCATAATAGTTGCCATAGACAGCGTAGCTATAAATAGGAAGGCTTTAGAAAAGATCACATGATTATATAATGGCAGAGTGTGGTTCGATGCAGGTAATCATCGGCTCTGGGGCGACCAGGCTTAATGAGGCGATAGTGGTTAAGTTTGGCCTGTAAGCCCAAGTTGCTTATGTGTCCCTCGGCTAAAAACGTTGTAAAATAATGTTTTAGAGCAGCCCGAGATGTCGTCTGTGCGCCATCTGAGCCAGACTCAAGCAGATGATCAACCGAATCGCTGACTTGGATAAAACGCTTTATGTTATCCAGGAACCTAATTTTTGTACCTCCATCTCGAAAGCCTCAGGACAGTGAATCACTCGTATTCGTGATGGTAATTAGTTGCCGATATTTACGTAAACAACTAGGAAGAAAGATTAACACAGTTTCTAGCGCGCTGGTAGAAGAGCAATAATGTAGCCACTTTTGCTGAAGTTAAATTCTGAGCCTCTTCTCTGTGCCAGGTTGGATATGTCACTAGGCACTTTATGTAAAAAACGTAGGTTTAGGGTAATGCGTCGCATCCATAGAGACTAGCCTTTGACGTGATCACACTGATGTAGGTAACTAAGCGATAGATTTTGGTAAACCGCCGCTGAGCCTTTCGAGCGGTGTGCCAGCTGACTTTCGCAAATTGCTGCAGGTGTAGTTTCAATACTAGAGGTGTGGGCGAACATTACTCCGACACCGTACTAGACCTGCCTCGGCTGTGTTTATTTGACAGCCTATTTAGAAGGGTAATTGTCGGGACTTCGGAACGGCACTGCGCATGATCTGAGAACTTGAGGGTCATAGAATACTGCACATCTGAATCTTTAACCAAACTATTGAGTCTGATAGGTATGCCATTTGACGTCAATGTGCCATCAAGCATGGGGAAGTTGTGGCTCACGCTGCATGATTTAGCATCAAAGAAATGCATTTACGACTGCTGACGCCTTGACTCTAAGGCCTTCAGGTCGTCGCGTACATTGCCAAGTGTAGAAAGCATTATAATTGGGAAAAGACCTATACTACCTATATACGTCTGCGAAGAAGAAGAAGCGGTCATGCCATAGGCTAATACAGATGTCGTTCAATAAATCAAAAACAGGACCGGACCAAGCTGCTCCCTTGTACGACACCCCTGTAAAATCTGGCAGGGATGGATTCATTCTGCACAATTTTCATCGACCGCGTGCACTCGGTTAGCTAGGATACCAGTCAATCGAGTAAAAGGCTGCTTACACCGTAAGCTTTAATCTGATGCACTAGGCGTATACGTGGACCCTATCGAAGGCTTTTTGGTTATCGAGATATAGCGTAACTTCTGCAAGGACTAAAGATATCGTATTGGTGACATGGTTAGAGAAACCAAGCTAGCAGGTTTCGCAAGGTTGGACCCATGCTGTAACCTGCTAACATGCTCTCCTGCATACAGGATGTTTATAATTGTCCTATTAACCACTTTTCCCTCTGACTGTGGCAATAATCATCATCATCATTATACATGTCCGCTAGAGATGGTAAAACACCTCCGCTATTGGACCGCAATACATAAAGGAAATACATACATACATACAATACATAAAGGAAAAATAAATACGACAGTTGAATGCCAGCTGAGCTACCAGCAACGGATACGCATCGTTCCGGTAAGCTACCAGCCAGCTACTAGGCAAAAAGAAAAATTTAATTACGTTTTACCCTACGAAATAAGATCGTAGATGGAGGGGAGGCTAAAGGGATGGGGAGGGACAAAGAAACTCACAGCAGGAACGCCACTGAGGTCGGCTCCTTGCCATGTCAGCAAGTGTATCCAGCCAAACGTGTTCACCGTCTTTTGGACCCCAACCAGGGAGCCGTGAAGCTCCAACTGAGGCCAGCTCCGAAGTGAGGGCCTTCATTCCTCTGGACCAAGTCATCGCTTGGCCACCTCTCCTCTTCTTCCACCCACATCCCCGGTGAGCAAACAACGCACGTCGAGGGAGTCGGTGGGTTGGCATGCGCAACACGTGGCCCAGCCATCGGAGCCTGGTGAGTGAAATGACGGTGCTGAGCGGTTCATTCCCTTTTCCTAGGCCGTAAACAAGGCGTCGAACACGCTCGTTACTCACGCGGTGTTCCCACCAGATGTGAGCCAAACTGTGAAGGCACCGATGGTCGAACGTAAGTAGCCTCTTCATGTCCGCCGATCTTAGGGGCCAGGTTTCGCAACCGTAAATTAAGGTCGAACGTACCGCTGCATTGTACACTCTACCCTTCAGGGCGAGAGTAATGTCGCGCCGTCGCCATAGGTGGCGAAGGTTAGCAAAAGCACTTCGAGCTTTCGCTATGCGGTTCGTGATCTCGTCTTCGATCCCAAGGGCGCTGATACAACTTCCCAGGTAACTGAATTTCTCAACGACTTCTAGCTGATCCCCACCAAGGGTCAGCACAGGAAGCGAACCCTGCCAATCCTGGAGGAAGGCTTTGCACTTCGGTGGTGCAAAGCAAAGCCCGAAGCGACTGACAGCCAGTGCTAATTTGTCCAGCGCGGCTTGACACGCCTGGGAGCTGTCACAGATGAGGGCAATGTCGTCTGCATACTCCAAGTCAAGAAGTCGTTCTCCTAGGAGTAGCTCCACACCTTCCAATTCATGTCCTGTAAATGCAATCTCCATGACTTCGTCAACAGCGAAGTTGAATAGGAAAGGTGACAGCGGGCATCCTTGTCTCACACCGCTGGAGATATTGAAGGGTGGCGACAGCCTGCTGTAAGCCCTTACTCTGCCCGTGCTACGCGCATATAATGCTTGGATAATATTTACATATTTCTCGGGCACACCTTTCCTGAGTAGACAATTCCAAAGGGCACATCGATCAACCGAATCGAAGGCACCTTTGATGTCGAGGAACACGACTACAGTGGGCCGCCAATATGTGTGGTGCTCCAACTACTGACGCAAGGTGAAGATGTGGTCGATGCAGCCACGACCCCGACGAAACCCGGCTGGCTCCTCACGAATCTGGCTTTCACGAGCGCCAGTCAGTCTGTGGAGAATTATGGACGCGAGTAATTTGGAGGCGATGGGGATCAGACTGATTCATCGATGGTTGCCGCATTCCGAGCGCGAGCCGTCTTTGAAGCTGGGAACAATAACGGAGCGGCTCCAGTCGGTTGGGACAGTTTCCTGCTCCCACAGCTTCACTAGTAATTCATGCAAAGCATCAACATGAGCAGAGCCTCCAAATTTGTAGAGGGCTGGAGGAAGATCCTCTGGTCCCGCGGCTTTGTTCAACTTCAACAGTCCGATCTCACGTTCGACTTCTGAGCGAGAGGGTGGATCCAAAGGGACAGCCCACGGAGCGGGGCGATCAGTGACCGGCGAATCGAACAATTCTTGCCGATTAAATTGCTTTTCAAGATGCACAGCCCAACGCTCCAGACGTTTTGACAAATTGTGGATAGGCTGTCCACTCTCGTCACGTATAGTTTCACTAACACCAGGTCTCCTGCTGCCCGTTTCCCGTATCAGACGGAATAACTTTCGATGATTGCCAAGGGCAGCGGCCACTTCCATCTCTGACGCACGATGAGACCACCAAGATTCGCGGTTTCTCTTCAGGCTGGCGCGGAGTTTTACCCGGAGCTCTTTGCAAGTTTCATTGTACTCGCTTTCAGCCGGGATATGCCGGCGAGCGTCGATAAGTTCCAGAGACTGCGAAGAGACCCAATGTCCATGTTGTCTCTTAGACATACCACATGAGGATTTGCCTGCTGCTAGTAAGGTCTGGCGAACATGTGACCAGTGACCATCAATTGTCTACTGTGATCGCTTGCTCAACTCGCATGTTAGCGTACTTCGATACGCATTCAGAACAGCTGGTTTTGTCAGTTGGCTGATGTCAATGCGCTCACAGCGTCGTCGTGGGCGTCCGCCAAAACGCATCCGCATGTCAGCACATACAAGTGCATGATCGGTGTCCACACATGTGCTCCAAATCGAGCGACAATTCTGGATGCAGCCTCTCCAGCGGTAACTTATCGCAATGTGATCGATCTGAGTGCAAGGCTGGTTCGAGGTTGGTGGGCGCCAAGTCACCCTCCGGCGGGTGCTGTGTCGGAAATTAGTGCTCGCAAGAAATAAGCGAGCATCTTCACACAAATGAAGTAACCGCTCACCGTTATCATCACGGGAGCCTACACCGTGTTGACCGCCCAGATGCAGTTCATCAGTGGACAACTTTCCAACTTGTGCGTTCATATCCCCCACCAGCACAACAGTGTCCGTGCTTCTTCTGTGGCGAAGGAGCTGGGTCAGTTGGCGGTAGAAGTCGTTCTTTACCGAATCATCGCTACAGTTTGTGGGCGCATAGGCAGCGATGATGAACAGACATCTATTAGTCACGCGCGACTTCGAAGCTTTAATCGAGCCAGCCAATCGGACCGCACACATCCGGCTACTGATTGGAATCCAATCAACCAGAGCAGCTTCAGCTCGGGGACTCAGAGCAATGCCAACACCAGCTTGGCCGGTGCTCGAAGCTGCATCGTCACCGGATAGGCGCAAGGAGAAAATACTGTTTGCGTCCCCTGAAGGGGATCGCAGAGTGAGCACAGTGCTCGAGTCTTGCAGGCGAGTCTCTGAGAAGCAGCAGATATCGATCGAGAGGGTCTGCAATGTTCGGACAAGTGCTGCCTGTTGACCGATTTGTAGCAGTGTGCGTACATTGAGGCATGCCAATCTGAAGGAGGATCGAGGGCTCCAAATGGAAGCCGATGAACTGGATTTGACCGCTTGGTTGGACATGGGCTTGTCGACAGCAGAGGAGTGACGCTCCGCGTTCACGTGTGAGTTGAAATTAGAAGGTAAATGCCTAGCAAAGCATGTTGAGGGAGGGCCAAGAATCGGGGGTTGAAAACTGGGGGGATATAAGTGAAGTTGGAATGGGACGGTAAGAGTGAAAAAGCGTAAGAGGGGGAATAAGAAGACGGGAAGGCTTGAGCAGTAGCATCCAACCCCCTATCCACTCTGCTCGATGCAGCAGATAGGGCACCGTTTATTATCCTCTGCGGTGGTCAGAGCATCAAGAAATTGTTTGAAGGAAAATTTGACTGTGACAATAGATTTGTGAGTAATAAGTCCGTAGGTGTTGACTTCCTGTACGGAGTCACCTATTTGGCGCGGTGTGAGGGCTGGTTGCTTCCGAGCCGAGGGGTATTGGCGCTTCTCCATGGAGGGTGTGAAGAGTTCCAAGAGAAATAGTGGACGATCATTGCCTACGTTCTTAATAAAAATGAGTGGAATTCCGGCGGGGCAGAGGTTCGTAGATAGCGCAATTGCTGCGATGGCGGAACTGCTACATTTTGAAGCAAACTGCACCGTACAGAGGGACTGGTTGATGGACAAGTGTAGTTAAGACGTTAATGGGAGCATGTATTTGCATTAGGACTGTTAAAAGTAGGAGTTGAATGCCTCGCATACAACTCATGCTTCCTAAATTGCCTCGTTGTCGCCTACACATATACAAGAGATCTTTGCTCAATAATGTGGGGTGCGTGGACGCAGCAACGGGCTGATATGCTTAGCTTGGTTCACACTAGCCATTGCTGCTATTTCATGGGTAGTTTTGTTCAGTATGATTCTGGCCGATAGCTTCCTCGCAATCTCGTCGGCTTTCAAAGTGTGTGCAAACCTGCACATCTTGTTGTACAGAAGTCGCATTTGGCGCAACCTGGCATGCAGCTTAGTTTGTCTTATACGTTTCGGTGACATTTTACTGAAACCAGATCAAGGAATCATGAGATCCAAACATAGGGTTAACTCACTGTAACTTTTACAGTTGCTCACTCCAGGGAGTCGGAGAGAAAGAATTCCTCCCAGTTCCTTGATCCAATAATTATGGCAAAGGTAGGCCAGTTTATGGAGTTCAGCGGGCCGAAGTTTTAGATGGTATCTGGTTTAGCTTGACAGGTGGCCGGGCGTTTTAATTACGTCGAGCAGTATGCCATTCCGTTGTCACTCCCCGATAAATATTGACCTGCAGCTATTCTTAACTGGGTTGTACCTAGAGTAAAGTTAATTCTAATAACTAATTTGACCTGGTCGGCGATGTACCTAATTGTGCCAATCCTACTAATTTGACGCAAGTTAAGATGCCTCGATGCATGTTTGTGTGAGGATCCATTGCATCTCAAGTAGATTAAAACCCCTCAACGGGACCACAGGTAAATGGTTGGAGCCGTGCTTGTTCTAACAAAGCTATAAGAGCCCCGCCACTTATATGGAGCGTAGCATGATCCCTGTAAATGCATTCAGGTGCCAAGGTTGATCCCATGGTATCGGCTATTGTCCATGTAGAGTCCGATGTTTCGAGGTTACATATGATTCCCGTCCTCACAGGGTAGTTTCGCTTAAGATATATAACACGCCCCTCAAAACGTTGTGTGTACGAGGTTAGCCAAGCAGCTGATAGCCGGGAAGGGAGTAGTAATCAGCTAAAGGACATTGTAAATGTTTACTTTATAAGCAGCAGTTGACGGAACCCGTCAAAGGAAGCCTAGTGGCATTATGCAGTAACGGATCAGGACGGTTAGACCATTTGAAATTATTCCTGCCCTCCCGAGTAAGCGTGCAAATGGCTCATAACCCATAAAGCATGAACACTGAGAAATATTTTGTGCGCCGCAACTGGTGGCATCATTTGCTCCGAGACAAGGTGGCCAGGTGCATAAAGGAAACCGTTGTATGCAGGAAATGAAGTTTATGTGTTCAGGGTCTACTCTGTACAAATATGGCCTTCGGTAACATCACTAAAATTGGTATAATGACGGAAGTAGATACAATATATGTTGAACTGCGGCCGATCTATGCAGAACGAGGAATGCAAGGAAATAAATAAATAAATAAACGATATATTTTCGGTAAAACGACACACACCTGTAAAGGCGTGATCAAATTTGCATACAAGCATAGCTTCTTTGGAATGACAAAACATTTCGTATTAACGAAAGGGATAAACGGAAGGATGTAGTCCATACGAGTGAACATATTGTCAGCTAATAGTCAGACCAGGGAATATGATGGCGCTGTGGCGCACAAAAAGCCGTCAAGATACAAGTTGGGGGTAATTTCGCCATGTAGTGGTCCGTGAGCACAGGAGTTCAAACAAAGCTTTGGTGCAACCAACGACCATTACAAAATCGGGATGATATGTGTCGGGAAGATTTGAAATATGAGTCCAGTTGACTTGCCAGTATGTAGTTATAGGCAGTGACTTTATTCAGTGGCGAGTCGCATCAGCCACATTGCAGCAGTATTAAACAGACATTTATGGTTTTTTATAGGGAGAACGCTGGCCAGGCGAAAAACAACCACGTCCAGCAACACTGCCGTATAGACTTTTGAACATTAATGTTGAATTGACAAAGCCGCTTGACGACTGGTTTCATATTCGGTTATTCGCAGACAAATGGCTCCTAATTTCTTCTGTTGTTTGGGCAGGTACTTTGATCGGGGTCACCATGATTGTTGAGGTCGGTTGAGGAGAGGGACATTGCGACTAGTCGTCTTGTTGTGTGTCCAGGCGAGCAAAAATTCAAATTTTCTGCTGTCTGGAGTTTGCAGATGCATATTGTATAGGGGTATGAAGATTGGTCCAGTTCTCTTTACTGGACAAGGGTTGTGGTGATTGAAGTTGGGCCCTTTTCGTTTTCAACCATGCTCCATGTAAGGCCCCGTTGGTTGTTACGTTCGGCTTGGGCAAAAACTGTTCCTCAGTCCAATCCCAGATCACCAAGACGTTCCGGACCTCAGAGAAAAGGGAAAGTGAGGGACAACCGAGAGAAGACCGCAAGAAGAGGCATGGAGTTAAATATTGTTAACGTCTTATGTTATAACGTTTGGAGTTGAGATAAAAGCATGTACACTGTGCAACAATAATTATGCTGAAAGTGCCTTTTGAATAGTCTATAGAACAGTTAGCCGTATGGGTGGATTGCTAGTGTCTGCCTAGAGACAAGAGCATTGTACCAGTAAGTAAACTACGAAGTATCGGTTTTTATGAGCCAAAAATTGCGTGGGGAGAGAGAAAAGAGATTTAAATTATTGGTGGTGATTGCAAGGTTCATGAACAGCCAGTAGCTAGAGTAATACGATAGGGAGCGCAGAAGAGGTGAAAATAAATAGGTTTCCGCAAGAGAGAGCTAAGGGTCAATTGGCGGTAAAGCAGCGGAAAGATTGCATGCAGATATTCTAAAGGAATACAGGTTATTGAGATAAGGAGTAGCTCCTAACGAGCACTGGATAATTGCATATGCATGGAGCCGCTAACCACTAGCTGCTTCTAAACAGAGGTGCCTAATTTAGGTCGAGTAACAGAGGGTGGGGAAACGTTTACCCCATGCACCAGCTGCTTTTTGAGAAACGTACGCAGTGTAAGTTGAGTGAACCTGGTAGGACGATGTCATGGACCATGGATAATGTGCTATTACGGAGGTGAGATGTAGGAAACTAGCGTTGGATTATCGTGGCTTGCAACGGTAGGGCACAGGGCAACAATTAACCTGGGCTCGGCCTGCGTAATGGCGGACTAAAAACAGCAAATGCACCAACCTGCCGTTAACCTGACAATATAAGGTTCAAATTCAAGTTTGGGTGGGATTGGAAAGATAGGAGAATGCCCTAAGTGTACCATCTTAAGTGGATCGTTGGTCTACTTATTTAATCAGAGTTCTAGGTGGACCTAAAGCGGAATGCACGTAAATACGTGTGTAACACGTGTGTGCCGACGCTTCCTGCCCTCGTAGTACCTGTCGCGGGGGCCGCGTGGAAATAGAAACCAAAGGTTTACAATGAGATAATGCACTTGAAATAAAAAATAAATAATAATTATATCAGGGACCGGCAGACCCAATGGTCTGTTCACATCGCTTCAAAAATATCGTTGGCATTTTCATTGCTTCTCAATAGAGCCGGTTACTTTCGCACTCTGCATTTCTTCTTCAGTTGGACAGATAATGCTTGGGCATGGCTCTTATCTAACGCCTTTGTACCCGGTAAAGAAGTCCTTTATCGCTCGCTCTCGTTCTGTTCAGACTTGTCAAGGCGTTTGCGGTCTTTATTGTATATTTTTTCACGATTTGCACTTATTCTTGTTCGTTAACCTTAGTTTCTCTGCCGTTATCTTTCTTTGCTCTCACCTCTTCCTTTCGGAGTGGTCAGTAAACGTCGTCTTAACGTCACTATCAAGGATGATAGACCAGTAGGGTGTATGCCGGCCAACTATAAAACTCTCAGCAATGGCTTATGTGGCAGAGCTATACCATGTACCGTTAAGTTAACGGACATCTTTTCTCTTAGTTCCCAAATGGCCGAACTTCAAAACAACGTAGTAAAGCTTAAACTGGGCCTCAGCACAATAGAACCTTTCACTGATAGACTGGCAGTCATAGCGAATATGGTGCACCACAAGGATTGTATGGAGTTTAAGCAAGCAGTGTTGGCTGTGAGGTTCCTTAACGCAATTTGTACTGTGGTGATGAATCTGCTAAAAGGCCTTAATAATGGAGTGCTATATAATGTTCCAGACTGTCTGAAACTACACACCATTCGTAAGATACTGATAAGCGTGTGTGGCTTGGAGCACGATCATCAGAGCTGTACAAGGCTAAGAATAAAGATTATGATAAACCAATGCCCATTTTTAGTCAAGTTTGATAACGAGCGCTCGGCCCAGAGTTTCCTTCCTGTCAATAAGAATTTAAAACCCCCACGACGTCCCTTGATTTAAAATTAGTACCACCAAGAAC